CAAAATGAGTTTAAATGTCAAGGATAGGTCACTACCACACCCTGGTAACTAGAAAAATTTTGATTAAAATGACATGTATTCTTATCGACAGATCACATTTTCATCAATTATGGGCTTAAATTTAATGAAATATTATCTTTCTAACTCAAACCCATCACTTGAGAATCGTTCACTTGAGAATCGTTTAATTTTGAATTTTGATTGACTTCCAATTCATGATAATTAAGGAAATTACAATTTTGTTCTTATTATGGAGAAGGTGGCAAGTGAGTTCCTACCTTTTAATCCCACTGTACTTCAATCACCCAAACAAGCTCATTACAATCAAATCACCCATTTTTTCTTTGTTAATCCTAAATTTTGATTACAACAACAACAACAACAACAACAACAAAGCCTTAATCCCACTACGTGGGGTCGGCTACATGAATCCTTTTTCTCCATTGCGTCCTATTTAGTGTCATATTTTCATTTAGTTCTAGTAAATTAAGATCATTTTTAATACAATAAGCCCAAGTCTTCCTAGGTCTACCTCTGCCTTTCTTAACACAAGTCGAATTTAAAACATCTACTCTCCTAATCGGATCATCTAATGGTCGACGTTTAATATGACCAAACCATCTAAGACGACTTTCTCTAATTTTGTCTGTCACAGGAGCTACACCAACCCTATCACGAATATATTCATTCCGCATTTTGTCTCTAAGTGTAAAGCCACTCATCCACCTAATCATTCTCATCTCGGCAACACTTAACTTATTATTATGCTTCTCTTTTAAAGGCCAACATTCAGCGCCATAGAGCATTGCAGGTCTCACCACCATCTTATAAAATTTTCCTTTCAGTCTTAGCGGTACTTTTCTATCACACAAAAGGCCCGAAGCATTCCTCCACTTCAACCAACCAACTTGAATTCTACTATTAACACCCCATCTATATCACCATCGCTTTGGACAACGGACCCAAGAATCTAAATCGTTCACACCTTTTAATAATTTGATCAAACCAACTTATTAAACCAAATAACAATGAAAAAATAAATATTATTACCAACTTCCAATAGAAAATTACAACAAACAAACATAAATCTGAAATTGCAACAAACAACAACACAAATTCACCCTAGGATTAGATCCAGAGGTGGTAGTGGTCAGCAAAGTGAATTGGTAGGGACAGCAGGCTGCTGAAAGAGCAGAAAAACAGCAAGCTTGTTGTTTTCTAGATGATGGCAGCGAAGGAAAGGGGGTGGCAAAGGTAGGGATGGCTGGAACAGCAGGAACCCACAAAAAGAAGAGAGTTTGTGTAGTGGCAGCAAAGTTGGATGACTAGATAGTAGCAAGAAACAACAGTTGTTATTTGGACGGCAGCAGCAAGATAGGAGGGATTGAATAGTAGGAAATCAGCAAGGGGATGTGGTTTTGGGTGGTGGCAGCAATGGAGGGAAGCAAAGGAGGGAATCGGGAAGGATGGGGAAAGGTAGAGAAAGGATAAATCACTATTTCAAGAGCGAGATATAGCGGGAGCACTACTCAGACCCTTCAAAACAGCCTTAGAAGGTGCATACTGTCCACCCTTGGTTTTCTTTAAAGCCTCCTCAACTTCTTTTTTGCTAATGCGACGGTAAAAATGAGACGTTTTATTAATATTTATGATATTAAAATCATTAAGTTAAATCGTATTTTCAGAAACTTCATTAAAAAGTTTATCAAAGTAACTCACCCACCTATGTTGAATATCTTTTTCTAAGAAAAGTACTTTTTGATTTTCATCTTTAATACACTTTACTTGAGTTAAATCTTTACTTTTCTTTTCTCTTTGTTTGGCTAGTTTATACATATATTTTTCACCCTCCTTAGTATCTAATCTATTATAAAGATCATTAAAAGCAGAATTTTTAGCGTCACAGATTGTTCTTTTAAACTCCTTGCGGGCCGTTTGATATTTTCTCCAGTTCTCTAAGCTTTTACATTTAAACCAATTTTTATAACATAACTTCTTATATTTTATCTTTTCTTGCACATTATTATTCCACCACCAACTATTTTTATTTGTAAATATTTTTCCCTTTGATTCTCCAAGAACATCTTTTGCTACCTGTTTAATAGCGTTTGTTACTTTATCCCACATCAAATTTTGATTAAGACACCAAAATCTAAAGTTACCCCTTTGCCTTTGGGGCTCTTCACCTCATAGCTCATTAATCAAAATTCAAAGGACTTAGAAAATTTTTAGAGTGCTCATTCATGGATCAATTAAAACATCAAAGGAGAAAATGTAGATTTTCAAAATTTAATTTAATTTAAATAAATATTCAATTTAGAAAGTAGTATTTTCAAAATTGATTTACTTAACTATCCAAAATAATGTTTTTATTCATGAGAAAATTATTAAAGGTCCCCTTAGGTCAGAGAATCACATAGACAAAATTCCATGTTTTTTTTTTGAATTAAATCTTTAATTTAACTATTTATTGATTTATATGATTTAATTAAATGAAAATATGTTTTATTTATAAATTTTTTTTAATATTTTTATTAAACCTCTCTAAGTCCAAATAACTTAGAGAAATGAATTTTCAATGTTTATGATTTTTGCTTTATTTATTATAATTATTTTAATGAGAAAAATAGGAAAGTGCATTTTAAGCCCTTAGAAATATTTTTTAACTTAGAAAAATTAGGAAAAATATTTTAATGAGTCCCAAGTGATCAAGAAACCATTAGGAACAATTTGAAATATATTTCTATTTTTGAAATTTTTAACAATTTTTAATTATTTTTAATTCAAAATATAGGCCAAAAATCAAGTATTTTATCAAAAATGACTTATTTTTCCTAAGTGCTCCCAATCTCAAGAAACTCAGAAAACAACTTTTAATAATTTTCCTTAGTGTATGAAATTTAATAAAATTATTTTTGTACAAAATATAATGTTTCTTGAAAGATCAATTATAGTGCTTAAACTTAATCAAATAATTTTAAAATTTTTACAGTGGGTTAACATAATTTTTATGCACAATGTGGAATTGATTTTGTAAATTTTTTATTAGTATTTAATTTACATAAATTAAAGAAAGATATATATATATATATATATATATATTTAATTAACTATAGAAATGTACAAAATAATTCAAATCATCATGACACTTTTCCTAAGCTTCTACAACCATAGGAAACCTACTAAAATTATTTCCACAATTTTTCAAGTGTTATTTTAATTTATATAATTAAAATAAGTCAAATTAGCCATCCTAGCTTGAAAATTAAGGTTAGATTTCATGGAGATGCCCTCTGACCTTGAAAAAAATCAGAGAACATCCCCTCTATCATGAGGAACAAACTCTCAAAATTTCAAGCTATGGTGAGCAACGCTTGACCACAATGAATTAAAATATTCCAGAGAGTAATTAGTTCATTAAAAATCAGAGAGTCAACAAATAATTTTTATTTTAGTCTACATTATTCTCATCTGTTCACTAAGCAAGAGTATATTTTTATTTTATTTTTATGACTTTTCTAGAGAAAGATATGAATTTTTAAAGTTCAGACATTTAAATAATTCCAAAAAATCCATATTATTCAAAAAAATCTAAGAATCTAACAAATGATTCTTAAATTTTTTAGTGTTGTAGCAAGAAGATCTTAAAATAAAAAATTAAATTGTTCTCATAGAAAGTTAATAACTTTTTGCACAGATGATAACAAACCATTATGTTCTATAAATTTTCTGAGACTATAGTGAAACTTTTAAATCATGATCTTACACTGCTATTATACAAAAGCTAGTAAATGAAAACAATATAGGAGACAATGAAATTCTTATAGAAAAATCCAAAAGGTAAAAGTGTTATAGGACCTGACACAGACAAATAGTGTACTATGGTGATCAAGGTTTCATAGATTCACTTTTTTATTTAATCAGAGGATTGGATTATGGAAATGATAATACAATACTAGCTTGAGTTTCTATGATTGTGATGGAATTAGTGGAGACTGAGAAAATAACAAGGCGGTTATGATAATGAGATGATGTTAGTTGAGTGATACTGGGGAAAAAAATGATACTCATGAGATGACTGAAGAGAGATGATGATAGGACAATAATAATGACAATCAGGTGATGGTTGTCAAACAAAAAAATAAAACAATAATGGTTGAACAATGAAATTCTAACAACAATTGTCAATGATGATTGTTGTCACTGGTAGCCAAACAAAGCTTAAGTTCTACAGATCTCTGTCCTCTCTCCAAGTTTTCCAATTTCAAGTCGAGTTAACAATCTTTTGATTAATAGTTAATTACTATTAAATTACTTGATTTCGTCATATTTTGGATGGGATATGATTATTATTAATGCCTTTGAGTTCATCATATGGAAAAGTTAATTTTTTTAAAAAATTAGTGAAATTAGAGTTTGATTAGTTATTAATTTATTTTTAAAAATTCTCAAGTAAAAAATTTAAGTATCATGATGTTGGATTGAATAAATTTTCAATGAAGTACTAATAAAAAATAGTAATATTAAAAAATTTCATTGTGATAAAAATATTATATAAAAATTAATTAAATCATATATTAATTACATTGTATCAAGTTAATACTTTATCTATAAAATCCATCATTATAAATAACTTTATCAGTTACCCGTAGCCAATATTTTTCTCCTTTTTCCCCCTAACCACCCCTCTTGGAAGTCTATCCTATTATAAAAAATTCATAGGATTGATGAGAGAAATGATCACCAACCTAATCTTTTGTTCTCTTCCATTTTTTCCCCTTCTTTATCAAAATATCTTTAAATTTAAGGCTTTTCCTTAAATTTGAAAACCATGGCATAGTATATTTATAAAAACATCATACATATATATACAAATTTAAAAAAATTATTTAAAATTAAATATTAAGCACAAAATATAGATGGCACACGTGATATTTTAAATAATTTTTTGGTATTAATTTCCTTTGACATGGAAGGCACTAAGCCAAGCCATACTTCTTCGTCCCAAGGAGACCAATCCCGTTATCCCATCCCAATAAAAATCTCCAACAAGGCCATAACCTTTACTCAAGGGCATAATCGTCAACCTGTCTCCATCTTCCCCTCTTCTCTATCAAAGCCCACCCGCTCATCCCCTTTCCTCCCTGTTCTGTTCCAAAGGTCCTCCTTTTCGCTTTCTTCCTTGATTCTTGCTCCAAATTCTCATCACGGTCTTCAAAATCTCGGCATTTTATTCTCTTCTCTCTTCTATCTCCACCATTATTACACTTCTGCAAAGGAGAAGACTTTGTTGCTGACCGAGATGAACTCTGGAACGCCTTTGCCGGCGGATCAGCTTCTTCCGGCTCTGGGCCTCTCGAAACTCAATTGGGAACAGTCAATGGAGTCACTGAGCTCCATTCTTCCTCCGCCGCACTCCGGCGAGATGGCTGGCTTGATGGGCAACTCTCTCAATTATATGCATGCCAACAATTTGATGCAATTACCCACTGATCCGGGGTTCGCCGAGAGAGCGGCGAGGTACTCTTGCTTTAGTTCTGCCAACTATGGCGCATTTTCCGTCATCCCGGAGGCCGCCGGAGTGCTGTCTATGGTATCGAGTAGCCGTTGTGTTAAGGGTAAGGAGAGCTCTGGTCAGAGTCGTGCGCAGCTTGAGATGGGAGATGGAGAATTTGGAAGTAGTAAGGAGGATTCTTCGGTCACAGATCCAGCTTCTGTTCCTGGAGAGAGTCATGCGAAGAAGAGGAAGGCAACAGCGAGGAGAAAAGTAAAGGTGTGATTTTTTAGAATCAAGAGAGTTTTTGCACTATGTGGTTTGTTTAAATTTGAGAATTTTCTCCATATAGGTCACAGCTGAAAATGATTTGAATGCAAAGAAATGCCGTTCTTCGGAGGGTTCTGAAATTGAAAAGAGGAGTATTACGCCTAAAGAAGAAGAGAATGTTGATGAGAAGAAGCATGAAAAGGAGGATGGAGAAAAGTCCCCTGAACCTTCCAAAGATTACACCTATGTCAGGGCAAGAAGGGGCCAAGCCACAGATAGCCATAGTCTTGCAGAAAGAGTAGGTTTTGCTGATATTTTTGTATAAAAATTCTTTATTGACACCTTTTATTTGATCTTATGGTCAATGTTGTAACTGTTTGCAGGTCAGAAGAGAGAAAATCAGCCAGAGAATGAAGCTTCTTCAAGATCTTGTGCCAGGATGCAACAAGGTATTATTAAGCCTGGCACAATTTGAAATATATTATTATTTAAAAGAAACGATCAACTTTTTATCTAAAAATCTGATTTTGATGAACTTTTGTCTGACAGATAACTGGAAAAGCGCTAATGCTCGATGAGATTATAAACTATGTGCAGGCATTGCAGCGGCAAGTTGAGGTAAAATGATAAGAAAAGAATGTTCAGGGTTTTATATGAAGTGTACTTTGTCGCAGTTTCTCTCAATGAAGTTAGCCACAGTGAATCCCGGGCTCGTCTTTTGTTGCAATATATATTTCTCTGTCTTTTTTTGCAGTTTCTCTCAATGAAGTTGGCCACAGTGAATCCCGGGCTTGATTTCAACTTAGAGAATCTCATCTCCAAAGAGGTTTTAGAACTTAAACCTCATCTCTTCCCTATTTCAGTCATTCCAGTTAGCTAATTTTTATGCTTTGATTCTGTTTACAGACTCTTTTGAACCAAGCAAATGCTTCTTTCTCGAGCTTACTTTACCCCTTGGAAAACTTGTCTGCTTCAGTAATTAATTTTGATCAACACTCTAATGAGGAAAGCCCTATTCCTTTTACTCTAGCAAATGGAATTGATTACCATTGTTCTACTCTTCATAAAGCTGCAATCATGCAGTCATCCCTTGATATGTTTGCAGCTTCTGCCTCTCAGGTAATGAAATGCAAGCAAAACAAATTAAATTTATGAAATGGAACCAATTCAATGGTATATTTAATTTATTTTACGTTGTTTTTCTGTTTCAGGCTGAGAATCTATGGGACGAAGAGCTTCATAGTGTTCTTCAATCGAGCTTTGGGCTGAACCAGGAGATTGAAGTGACCTCTCCGATCAGAGCTTTCTTGGTGATTGTTATATATAATAATTAGATGATTTAACTTCAATGAGTATAGTTTTTCACAGTTATAAATTAAAAAAATGTTTTGCAGGGCAGTTGTCCATAGCCCAAATGAGGATTGAGTTCTAGTTTCATTGGCTTCAAGTGAAATTGCAAGAATTCTTTGTAAATATGGAGAGATGAGCTTGGAATGGTGATAGACTATCTAAAACTGATGATTTTCAGTGGTTACTATAATTTCCGTCTAATTTCCCTTCTTACCCTACTTGGGTTATTGATTATTATAATTATGATTTTCCTTTGTAGTGCTTTGATATATTGTTTAGGCTAATGTCATCCTGTGGTGCAATTTATATCTCAACACCACATGTAAGATGTAATTTGGTGAGAGGGAGAGAGAGAGAGAGAGAGAGAGAGAGAGAGAGAGAGAGAGAGAGAGAGAGAGAGAGAGAGAGAGAGAGAGAGAGAGAGAGAGAGAGAGAGAGAGAGAGAGAGAGAGAGAGAGAGAGAGAGAGAGAGAGAGAGAGAGAGAGAGAGAGAGAGAGAGAGAGGTGGTGAGATAATTTATTACCATTGAATCCAGTTTGTTGTATTAAAAGAATTAAGAATACTTAGTATGAATTAACGGAGTTTTTCTTACTGTTAATGGCCTCAAGTTTGCTGCTAGATTTGTGATAGCTGTGAAGCTTCTTGATGAGATGGATTCCCTCTTCTTCTAATCTTTCAATTCTTTGAAAGTGGCTTTACAGAACAAATCCTAAAGCCTTCTTCTTTCTTTTCTGCTGCTGTCTTTTGCCTCAGCCAGCTAGCACTTAATATTTATTTGTTTCTTTGTGTCGTTTACATGCATACCATATATCTTTATTTATTTACACAATAATATCTTAATCTTTATGCTTTTACATATATACCACTCAAATTTTTAACTTCACTTCTAATATACAATTATTATTATCTTAAAAATTGAATTTTACATTTATATATATATATATTTATGTCACAAGAATTTTGTTGACATAAGAAATTAGATGTTAGATATGTAAATTCATAAAAATAATGTGTCATGTATGTAAATTTCCATCTCTCTCTCTATATAGATATAGATATGGATATCTGTTATGCCTGACAAGATTATGAGGACAGTTCAACGATGCTTTTGCTCTTTATGGATGCTACACATTTGAGCGTAAATTAAAAAAAATATATTTAGTTAATAATTAAATTAAACAAAATGGTGTAGATTAGTCAAAAAATAAAACTTTTTAAATTTGAGATTTTTGGTTATTTATTTCTTTCACTCAAAATAAAGCCCAATATAGGCCTGTCTTTAGCAGTGGTTGTAAAATTCCCATACAGTTGTCGCCGAGTAATAAGAGTTCTCAGGGAATAAAAACTTGAAAAATGGCCGCAGAAAAGGGAGGGACGGTCAGAGTGGTGGTAGTCATCATTTTGTGATTGGATGGTCGCAGCAATTCACGACGACAATATTTGAGGATTCATTAGTGAGCTTAGACTATTTGAGGGCTCAGTACACATATATCTCTATTGACCATATTTAAAAATATTTTTCAATATATATATATATATATATATA